GAACCTATTTTTATAAGACTTCCTTGTATGCTTTTGCACATGTGTTGCCCTCTTCCCTGCATTGGATAACACACAAGTAACATGCTACTCAGAGGAAAGAAAGTTCTATTCCATAAACATTCTTTCTGTTGGACTCAATATAGCCTTCTTTTTACCAAAAGTAGTATCTAATACAACAAATAGTTTATGTATAGAAATAAAATGGATGGAAGGAACCTCTTGAAGTTCAACAAGGCCAAGTGCAAGATCCTGGACATGGGCCAGGGCAATCCCCAGTATCAGTGCAGACTGGGGGATGAATGGATTGAGAGGAGCCCTGTGGAGAAGGACTTGGGGGTACTGGTGGATGGAAAAATTGCACATAAGCTGGCAATGTGTGCTTGCAGCCCAGAAAGTCAATTCTATTCTGGGCTGCATAAAAAGAAGCGTGGCCTGCAGGTCAAGGGAGGTGATCCTCCCCCTCTACTCTGCTCTCATGAGACCCTACCTGGAGTACTGCATTCAGCTCTGGGGCCCCCAGTGCATGAAAGACATGGACCTGTTAAAGCAGGTCCCAAGGAGGGCCACAAAAACGATCAGAGGGATGGAACACCTCCCCTGTGAAGAAAGACTGAGAGAGTTGGGATTGTTCGGACTGACTCCAGGAAGACCTTATTGTGGCCTTTCAATATATAAAGGGGGCTTTTAAGAAAGACAGGGAGAGAATTTTTACCAGAGCCTGTAGTGTCAGGACAAGGGGCAACAGCTTTAAACTGAAAGAGGGTAGATTTTGACTGGATATAAGGAAGAAATTTTTTATGATGAGGGAGAGTAGCGAGACACTGGAACAGGTTGCCCAGAGAGGCTGTGGATGCCCCATCCCTGGAAGTGTTGAAGGCCAGGTTGGATGGGGCTTTGAGCAACCTGGTCTAGTGAAGGTATCCCTGCCCATGGCAGGGGGGGTGGAACTAGATGATCTTTAAGGTCCCTTCCAACCCAAAACATTCTATGATAAATATCCCAGATGGTACTGAAGCTGCATAAACCTTTCCAAATCTAGTAAGTGCTGCTGAACTGCGTTATGAACAAGATTTTACAGACTCATAAGTATTTTAACTGCCCAATTTGGACCGCTGTCATTCAATAACGCATTTCTGTCTTCCCCCCCCCCCAATATGTAATCTTTCATGTCTGTGTAATTTTTTTTATAAACCATGTTATAAACATTTGTAATAATCTTAAACCTTGTATTTTTCACTTTAAAATGTCACTATTAATGTCTTCCATCTTCCTCATACTTGACACAAGTTCTTCTTTCTTCCCTCCCATAAGCTTTCTATACTTGTCAGCTGTTCCTCCCCAAATACAGGGCACTTTTCAACTAAACCACTGCAAATCACTTCATCATTTTAAAACTTATCTTGCTCTTTCTTTTGTTTTCCAGTCTGTTACTCATTCTTCTTGCTGGATACATTGTAATGTGTATTAAGTACACTATGGAAAAAATAAGCTATGTTTTTCTTAGAGGTTGTGTTCTTCTTCAGAAGCGTTATTAAAAGTAAATCCTCCAGCAAAGTTTTTTCCTTACTCTTCTAGCAGAAACTGAATAACAAAGATTTTTTTCACATGAAGGTTTCCTTCAGGCAGTATTTCCAATTTTTCTATTTACATTAAAAAAACTATTAACTGGTGAAAAATATTGAAAGCATCACTGCATTCAAGTATTTTCATTACAAGGATATCAAGCACAACACAGTAGAACACTTGTGGACCTTCCTCCTGCAAAATGATCTAGCTCCCTAGCCACAACCCTATCTTGGCCTTTTTAAATTCTGGCAGATATTTTTTAGCACTGGCAAGTGCACTTATGCACAGAGCAGTTACACATTAAATTCTAACTGCTAAAGATCAACCAACGATTTCTTCTTAACTTTGCTCCAAAAACCTAGGCTTTTGCCAAGGATAATGGAGGCTCTATCAGTGATTCACTGGCCTATCACTCAACCAGGAAATTCCACCAAGGAAACTGCAAAACCTAACAAAAGGAATGTAACTACATATTAACTAACATCTAATTTCAGACAGTGCTATAAAATTGCTTGGGACTCAGGTAAGGTTTTCTTACAGGTTGACAGAAAACCTAGCAGAAAGGGAACTTAACACTGCTGAGTTTTCTGATGATCTCATAAAGTTTTTTGTTGTGGGGGAAAAAAACCCCCACCATTCTAATCTATGTATCAGACAGGAAAACTTGGGTATTGTGAATCTTAAATGTGAAACTTGTAGCTAAATACTTTTTAAGCCCACCCCACCCCCCTTTATCCTTTACACCAAACCTAAGAATCCAAAGATAAGACTTCTTTGACTGATGAGAATTTGGTTTGATGAATATTAAAGAAATCCAATACTGAGTATAAATATTCAGCATTCAGGAAATTCAGGCCCTCATTGAGCTAAATCTGACACCAGTATTTCTCGTAAGACGAAGACTTCAACTATGTGCACAGTAGTGCAATAGTTTTATATTGACATAACAGTCATTAAGCCAAACTCTGCCTGCCAGCATAGAAATTTGATACAACCTGCCTTAACTGCCTCTCTCTTTTTCAAACAGTACATACACTGCATTCATTGTATAGATCGCAGTATAAAAAGATCCTAGTAGTCACATTCAGATTTTGTAAGCAAGGAGGCATTCAGTTCTCAGTTTTAGTTCAAATGCCCATCTCTCCTCAAGCATACAGGAGTGTGATGACATGAACTGAAGCACTGCTCGAATGCAACTCGTGCAGATGTATCAAGCCACTGAAGGAGTCTGATTTAAAGTGCTGAAAGATGGAACATTGAATACAGCCGGGGTTCAGCTACAGCTTATGCTTATGCTATTTCTGAATTACTAATCAAGTCTGGGTGCTCGAGGCAACACAGCCACCCTCAGTCAAGGTGACCTAGTTTCAGTAATACAAACTAGATGCTACAGTGAAAATAAATCTGTAGACACTTATTGCAGAAAGCTACTAATTACAAATAAGATTAGACAGCTGAACAGTGCACTGAAGGGTTATGGCTATAAGACAAAAAGGTTCAAAAATTCAATGGGAAAATCCTGAACTCCCAACCATCTTACATTATTATGCTAGAGCCTAAGAGATACAGAACTTAAGACTCTCTCCTCCCCTCTAGAGACACCCTCTATTGACGTGATCCAGCTGGGCAGCCTTCTGAGTTCCAATGAAGGCACAAAGTCTGCACAAGCAGCATGCATATGGGTATGAACTGAAATAACTGATGAAGAATAAGCCCAGGTAGCAAGCAATTCAGGAATAATAAGAGAGGTATAACTGTATCTAGCAAGCCTGTCCCAAAGATCAAGTATGTGTTGCCCTCACTTAACGCCGCCAAATCCAGAACTGTTTTAAGCAGACATATGTGATTTGATTTCCCTAAGTACCTGGTTCAGATGATCCCTGCCTTTTTCTTGTTATTGCAAACAGCAGCATAACTAGCATAAAGAATTAGGCTGTGTAGGCAGCCTGTAGGATTGTTAGACATAGTGTCACTCCTAACAATACATTGCTCTAAATAAAGCAAGTTTATACTTACTACCACTATAGCCTTTCCCAAAACCAGTATTTTTGCTGTACATTCTACTTCTACAAACAAGAACATCACACATCCCAAACCAATAGATCCTCATCTCCCAGAACCGTAACTTTCAATCACAAGTTCTCAAAATGCCTAACAATGTACAAGGGAATCATGAGCTACAGTTTCTAAAGGAAGTGGTTACTGTAAATCAGTTTGTCCACAACTATCACCTCCCTCAAATTCACCCTGCAGCCTCTAAAGAAATTTGATGTTGCTTGTTCTTTTATAAAAGAAAAACACACATCACAGAGCTACAGTCTACTCTAGCAAACTGTCTACACACCAACAGTTCTTGTGGAGCAGGTCCTGTGTACTAACTCAACAGAGAAGAGCTGAACAGGTCAGGCTCACTCAGTCCACATACAAAGACTTCAGATGAGTCAAGTGCAGCACCTATGGAGAAAGGCAACCCCACAGATTTTGGGGGAAGCAGCCCATCACCTAATGTTCATTCTAAAACCCATTTTGTCAGTCTGCACATATGTTCTTCGAAAAGCAAGGGTTGCCTTAGATCCCAACCCTCCTGTGTAGAGGTCACCATGACAGATAAGCTTCCCACTATGGTGCCCACTCAGTTTTAGAAAGGTTTGTTATGCATGTTCTTCGTGTCTCAAATAACACATCCCTCCATTGCAGAAAGCAGTCTCCGTCTTCTCCACCCAATCGTTCCTTAAAAGTCTCTTCTCCTGTATTCAAGTCTTCCTCACCCTGCTTTAAAATACAGTTTACAGAATTCAATAAAATGAAACAATTTGGAGTACCTTTTGGTGTTTATCTGTTACCTTCCAGCCTATTCAATAATATGTATTATCCTATTCCATTAATTATCCTGCATCTTCTGGTTTTCTGACTTAATCTATAACCTTTGTACTGCTAGACCATTTCTCATTTCAAAAACCCAGTATGAAATTGTGATGCCATGAAAATAAAGCGTGCATTTCTGTTAACTTCACATACAGCACTACATCAAGCATAGCGAGCCCCTTCTCAGCAGAGCACCAGCCACACCTACACTGAGAAGAAAACCAGCAAGTGAGCCACAACCTTAGCAGCAACCACACAGCTGCTGACCAGGTCCGTGTCCCTTCCCAACTTCACACACAGCTGCTTCCCTACAGTAACTTCACCTTCACGCCTCCCCTCCCTCTTCCCCAGGCCACTCCGTTTACAGACATTTCTCTCAGTATCTCCTCAGTCGCACTCTTCCCCTCCCCAGCCTGCTCCCCACCCCATCCACCAACCCCAAACATCTCCCCTTCCCACACCAGAGGCCTCCCTCAGGCTTCTTCCCTCACCCATAACCCTTGCACCGCTCCCTCCGGGGCGGCCTCAGCCGGGCTCCGCTCCTCCCGGTCCCAGCCCAGGCCTCCCACCTGCAGCACCCGGCCGGCGGCCCAGCTCGCCCCTCACCGCCGGCTCAGCTCCCACCAGCCACCCGCTGTTTCCGGGTGCCGCGGTCCCGTCCCGCAAAGGCTCCGGCTGCAGCCGCGGCCCCGCCCGCTCCGTTCCCAGGGCCGCGGCAAAGCAGCGCGCCCCGCCCGCCACGGGCCCCGGAGCCGCCGCGCCGGGCAGCGAAGCGAGAGCTTGCCGGTCTGGGAGCGGCCGGGCCGGGCTCCGGTCTGGTGGAGGCGGGCGGGGGCTGGCAGGGGCTACGGTGCCGGGGCCGCGGCACGAGGAACAGCGCCGCGGGGCAGGCGGGGCCCACAGGGCTGCGGGGCGAACGCTGGCGGCTGGAGCGGCGGCAGGGGC